AATTGCAATTTTAATATTTTTATTTTATTTTATGTGTATGAGTATATTGCCTGCATGCATGTAAGTGCACCCATGTCATGCAATGCCCACCCCACGGAGATCAGAAGAGGGCATTGGATTTCCTGGAACTGGAGTTAAAGACAGCCATTAGCCTCCATGTGGGTGCTGGGATTCAAACCCGAGTCCTCTGCAAGAGCAGCCGGTGCTCTCAATCACTGAACCATCTCTCCAGTCCCAAGAACTGCAATTTCAAAATAGCCACCTACATTTAAAAGAAGAATGTTAGCAGCTTGCTCCCTTAGTAATTTAACATGCCTATAAATTCTTATTTTTTCCTGAATATATGCTAAATAAATTTTAGATTTTGCAAAAGTGTACTGACCCCAAACCAATGCAGTGCATCAGATTCCTAGTCTAACTATATATACTTTCAGGAAGCCTTTTGGTTATCTCATTTTAGAAAAAACTTTCCTATGGGTTCAATCTGGTAAATTCTCCAGCATGGTGTGTAGTTCATAACACCAACAAAGACTAAGCAGGTGGGAAAAGTAAAAGGAAATGACCTATCCATTTCAACAATTTAAAGTGCAATCAATTGGCTTTGGAATGGATAATAAGTTTGAAAACAAATTTCCTATGTTAAATATGTTTTCTAAACACATGATGAAAGGAATGCATAGCCCATGCTATGTGGGCCTTGTGTTAAAAGTTTGGTCCACAGAGGGGTGCTATTGGGAAGTGGTAGAACCTTCAGGAGGCCTTTGAAGACATGTCCTCAGGAAGAATTAACTCTGGCCCTTTCTCATTCTGGCTCTCCCCTTTGACTCATGAAGGAAACAGTTTTGCTTCACCACATGTGCCTGCCATGATGTGCTGCATGATGGGCCCAAAGCAAGGTGGGCCTCCAAAACTGTAAACCCAAATCAACCTTTTTTATTTTTATAAGATCTCTAGGTTATTTTGTTATAGTGATGAAAAGCTGACTAATAGCAACCATAAGTACACATGCTGGGGCAGTAACAGGAATTTGACCATGTGTCAAGAGGACCATCAACACTAACGCCCTTCCATGTCCCCAATCAGCAATGATATCTGCCCTGACCCTTGATTTCTATAGGATGTGTATGATACTATGCAATTAGTCATAGTTCACCCTGTGGAGTTTCTGAGTAGTTTGGGTTTTCCTGAGGAACTAGGCCCTCTAGGCTTCTGTCAGAAAGAGCACAGTTGCAGAGCAGGATCCCCCTCCAGGTTCAAATCTTAGCTCCACTGTCCTTGTGTCTTGTTCTTGGGTGTGCTGTTTAAGCTTCCTGCCTTGATTTCTTCATCTGTGAGACAGGCATATAATAATCTCTACTTCAGATGAAAGATCAGCTGAAGTCTAAATAACAGTTTATAAAGTACTTCAGAAATACATGTACAACTAGCTTTCAAAACACAGAATTGTAGTTTTCACTGTGGTTTCGGAATGCTAGGACTCAAATTCTTTGTAAAAACAATAAAATGCTCAATTTTTTCAAATTGCCGCTGTATTTTGTGGTGGTAGGACATTGTGATAAGCATGACCTTGGAGATTTCAAATGACCCTTGATGTCTAATCTTCCTAAAATGGAAATATTAACTCACAGTCTCCTATAAAATCTTTCAAGGCTGTCTCTTTTCTAAATTAATTCTTTTAAATTGTATGTGTATGAGTGTTTTGCCTGCATGTAAATAAGTGCACCTGTGTCATGCGATACCTGCAGAGGTCAGAAGAGGGCATCGAATTTCCTGGAACTGAAGTTACAGACTTTTTAGCTGCCTTTTAGGTTCTGAGAACCAAACCCAGGTCTTCTGCAAGAGCAGCCAGTGCTTTTAACCCCTGAGCCATCTCTCCAGCCCCCAAGGCTGTCTCTTACATTTAATGTCTATCCAACCACCTTGGTGTTCAAGAGTTCTAATCTGTCCCCGGATGTTCTTGGTTCTTTCACACTCCTAAATCCTCTTGCCTAATATTTTTTTCCACTTAATTCCATACTCTTCTCTGCTGCCCCTGCCCAGTCTTCCTCACTGAACCCCCCCCACACACACACACATTTTTTCAAGACTCATGCCTATCACTGACCTCACAGAGTGAGTTCATACCCTCTGTCCATGCATCCTGCATTCCTGTCATCCCCAGAGTTAACATGTCCACAATAAGTTCTGGCTTAGGAACTCATCTTCTCCTCCCTGACTGTGAGCTTCCAGGGAGAAGGAAAGACATTGGCGCTTCTTGATTTTGTTTGTTTATGTTTGCATGTGTACATGTGTATAATGTGAATGTGTGCATATGTGTTGTGTTCACATGCATGTGGATGCATTTGTGGGGGTGCATGCATGTGGAGGCCACTTTGATGTTTTCAACCTTTCATATAGGGCCTGACCCATAGGTAAGGAATATGATTCAAAGGCTTGTTGGATGAGACATGTCTAGAAATTATCACAAAATGGCTTTATTATGATATGAGCATAAATAATATTAGCAGCTACTTAGATTCCAAAGAGAAGACACATGCAAAATTATGTTTAAATGTCACTAAGTACATGATATTATGATTTGGTGTCACTGAATGCCACATTACACTGAGGTACATGATATCTTCCTAATTTTAAACAGCATATGTCCAGTTGATTGGTAGATGTGAGCACTCCATGAATCATGTTCTCCACAGTAACAGCAAATAGACGTACAGCCACTGGAGAACCCTGACAGATTATCACACTCAGCATGGGAGGGTCATTCCAACCCTCTAGAGGACATTGTAGAATTATGGTGGGAACTGAAATTGGCTTTGGTGTTAGTATGTTTGGGGGTGGAGACAGGTGTGTTACTGGCATTCACTGTGAGGAACTTAGATAGGACAGAGAGCTCCTAAGACAAAGAGCAGTTCATACAGCAAAGACTTGATTTTCACCAGGAAATTTTGCAGGTCCCTCCATTGGTGGAAAAAAAAAACCTCAACCCCACTTCCCTATAAAGAAAGTATTGTTTGTACAGCCTTAGTTTGCATTGCATTTTCCATACATACAACCACAGTGTAAATCAAAGAAAAAAATCAAAGTTTGTTTGAAAAATTCAGATTAACAGCAAAAGTGCCACTGTGTTTGAGTTGCTGGTGTAATAAACCTCTATCTCTCCAGAATTAGAGAGATCACCTCACTGTGATACTGCATAAAGAATTAGCATCTGAGTTCTTTGTGAGGTTTGCCCAAGCTGCCATACTTTCTAACGGGATACCTTTCTTTTTTCCTCTCTGTTTATCTACCATTAGAGCATTGCATTGATTTAATTATAGGTATATAACCCATGAATTTCATTTTTTTGACAATTAAAGAGATTACAAAATCGTCTAAGGAAAGTTCATTGCACCCAGTGGGGCCAATAATCACTATACCAGAGTAGGGTATGATGGCACAAGCCTCAGCCCATGGAGGCTGAGGCAGTAGGATCTCAAGTCTGAGACCAACCTTGTTACATAGGGACACCCTATCTCAAAAGTAAGCCTAATAAATCTCAAACTGGTGTTATCCTGATGTTTAACTCTATACCAACTCCAGTATTGACTAGCTGTAGTTCCTTTATTCTTCTGTGCCCCCTCTTCCAAATCTGTAAAACAGTCATTCATACCTCCCTGTTAGAGTTGTTCGGAGTGTGGAGTAAGTTAATATGCAACTATTAAGTGCTGTGCTTGACTCATGTTAAGAGTTCAGTATGGTTAACTTAAAACTGTAAAAGGAGTACAGCAAATGTGAGTACAACCATCAGGTGACACGGGCGTGTGCTTTAGAACATGCTCACAAAGATCTGTTCTTTTACATTCAACTGTTTCTTTACTTATTTTGAATAATCTTCAATACTTGGAAGAAAGGCCATTTGTACATAGGGGAGAAAGGAGACACCCCTCTGACCCCCAGGCAAAGATGTAAAGTCTTTGACAAAAGAGGCCAATCAACCCTCCTAGGTCAGAATTCTACTTTAATGAATTTTGAGCAGATCTACAGAAGGCGAATACAGCAGCATAAATTCACAAAAGTTAATTCCCGAACTGCACTATCTGGGATAGGCAACATCCCTGAAGGAGATGGGGCAGGTGGGGAACAGGTAGAAGGCTGACATGGCTGGTATCCTGCCAGAGAGACCTGACCTGACCCCATGGGAGGGAAGGACTCCTGGCACCACATCTTCTACATGTTACAAGAAGCCCGAATTTCAGATTCTTATAACAAATGCCCAGCTATTCAAACTCTACAGGCCAAGTAACATATGTGAGGGCCACACACAGCCATCACGTCAATGGCTGTGATAAACATGGATCTCCTTTGCTCTTCTCACCAGTTCTGTTGCAGAAAATGTTTCCCTGAACTTTGAAAGATGAAGTGTGTGATAAAGACATTTCCCCTCATTGAGTAGCAAAGAATTGTCACTAAGGGGATAAAATGAAGAACTTTAATTTAAAATTTCGAATCAAGTTCATGAAAACAGAGAACTTTTATTTTTTTTCTAACCCAGCAGGATATATGCCCACATATGTAGTTATCGGACATCAAACATGATGGCACTTGAGATACATAATATCAGATGATTATACCAACAGATGAACTGACTTCCACAAAAGTTACAGTGTGACTACTAAATAATTAGTATTGTCAATGTGGTAAACACATTAAATTACAAATCTTCACATTTATACATAACTATTTTTACAAATATATGTTTTAAGACCCAATTGCCCAACTTTCATTTAAACACTAAATGTTGCTGAACAAAAAGTCTGCAATAAATATTCCCTCAAGTGGGTGGGAAAAGCAATTTTACATAGAATCTGTGTTACAATGAATGTCTGAGTATATATTTAAAACTTTAAACTTCCCTTGTGGTTATTGAAACCTAGTGTTTTGAAAAAAAAACTCTTATATTTTAAACAAAATTTGTTATTAATTTAAGAAGTAAATGTTCTCATCATACTAATATTACTTATGGTTAGGTCACTCCCAAAATTATAAATAAGTGGTTCACTGGTCCCTCAAGTTTACTTAATAGTTAATTTTTAAGTGAACCTTTATAGTTATAATTATGAATGTTTCCTTCCTTATTTATCTGTATATTTGTGTTATAACTCAATCAACACAGGCAAATACGTAGAATTTTTCTAAGCAGTACAGCTGAATTGTCCCATAAAATATTTTCAGCCAGCTTTCAAACTGAAAGTCAAACTGCTGCATATTTTTAATAAAAAGTGAATGAGTTGTAATGTTCACCATGTTTGCAAAGGCAGACCTTCTGTGAATGGAGCCAAGGATCTCAAGACTAGAAGGTGCTGTATCTTTCTAGAACTTTCTTCCATGGCCATGATGGGTTACCAGGGAACTTTCCTCAGAAGTGAGGGTAGCCAAGGCAGCAGCATTCCACTTTGCCATTTCACTACGTGGCAGATTCACAGCCACTGCCTGTCAACTGGAACTGAAATCTGGACAGCTCTTCCCAGGTAGTGGGGGCTCCTGCTGAAGGGGGTAGGCGAAATATTGGGGTGACACCAGGAAACCAGACGGCTGGGTTAGGTGTATGGCATGACCAGTGGTGTAAGGTGGGGGTGACGAGGGCACCAGGGAGCCTGGCTCAGCCCTGGCAAAGGAGAACCTGCGGACAGAGCCACCTGTGGAACTGGAGCTGGTGGCCGTGCTGGACTGCCTGGAAGGTGCTCTGAGGCTGGTGGAGGTGAGGATCATGGGCAAGGTCTCTGTCTGATAGCTGCGGAGCGAGAAGCGGATTGGCTGCTGCGAGGGCTCCTTCGGTCTCAAACAGGTGCAACAATAGATAGCCACCAAAGAGCTCAGGATGATGAAGGCAATGAAGATGGAGCCGACGATCAGGAAGGGGACATAGACGGGCTCTAAAAGGCAAAAACGGACACACACAGATGCTGGGTAAGAGTTGCCCAAACTCCATTCTCTGGCTGAACATCTTAGAGGTGGGAGGTAGGAGATTCATTATTGCTACTGCTACCAGCTCAACTTTTCAGAGCTGCAAATTGCAAACTGTGATAACAGAATGTTCTCGCTATGCCCAGCAGGGAGGAAGTAAACTGATGCTGTATCCTCTGCTAGCCATTAGCCATCCTAGTGCACATCCAGAAGTCAGGAAAGAGTACATTCTACCATCCTATTCAGGCACTGGAGGGAAAGGGTGGGTTTGAGGGGGGTCACCGTGGCTCTGAGATTAAATCTAGGTTTTAGGAGATTTTTGTTTGTTTAATTTTATTTATATTTTTATTTTATGTGTATGCTTGTATTGCCTGCATGTAGATAAGTGCACCCGGGTCGTGCAATGCCCACAGAGGTCAGAAGAGGCTGTTGGATCCCCTGGGATGGATCCCCTAGGACTGGAGTTATGGACAGCTGTTAGCTGCCTTGTGGGTGCTGGGATTCGAACCCGGGTCTTCTGCAAGAACAACCTGTGTTCTTAACTGCTGAGCCATCTCTCCAGCCCCAGGTTTTAGGAGTTTTATCATGGTGGGGCACTTAAGGCTCTGACTATCCGAGAGTTTCCAGTCTAAGCGAAGAGCACCAGTCCTGGTGAGTAGAACCCCAGAAAGTATGAGAATCTAGAAAACAATATAAAGAAATCCACAGTGAGCCCCAATTTACTGTGTGTCCCACTACACTACAAATCATCAGCCCTGCCTGCATTCGGAATGCTGACTTCAGCTGTCATCTCTCTCTGGATCCCCACCTATAGCCTGGCAAGAGCTTTGCATAGATCTACACACAGTTCTTGGTATTGGTATTTGTGACCCAGGCTTTTTCTAAGACCATCCATCCTACAAAGCAAACTTTAGTTTGCTTCCTTCTCTAAAGGGAAGATATGACTTCCTACCCCAGAGGCCTCAGGGCAGCTCTCTGGCTCTTCCCTATGTGATAGAACCACACTGAGATGCAGCTTCCAGCTTGGTCACAGCAGATTAAACATTCAGGTTTACTAAAGTCCTACTTTGTACCTGGCATTCTATATTGAGTCCAGTCTCATCATGGAGAGACCTGTGAGATAGACACCCCCATCTTTTCCAGATGTGAGAATCTATCAGAAGGCTTTTTACTTTCCCAGTCACAACCAGTGAGTGACAGGCAATGACCCAGCAACCACCTGTGGGCTGCTAGATGTGAGCTCTTCAGCATCCCATCTGTCCTCCCAAGTGACTAGCAGTGGTGAGAAGGCCAGGTGAGGGTGAACACCACTTTCTGTGCACTATGCCGAATAGTCATATGCTCATATAATCAACAAACTAACTCTTTTTGATGGCAATGTGCCCATTTTAAAATTGAAAAGTGGCCCAGAGTAGTTAATAGCTCACCAGAGGTTACACTGTTGGAAAGTGACTAAGTCACCCTCCACCTGGGTTGGCCTGATCCCAGACTCAGTCAGCAGAGAGACTGCCCCTGACCCCTGCTATCCTTAGACATCAGAGGCCTTGGAGGGTGCCTACAGAGAGGCCCAGCACAGTGGAGGCAGGTCAGCAGGGGAGTCGATTTTTCTGACAGGCCAGGATAGCCTAGAGTTCCCTATTTTCTAGAGCCATCTTTTCTCCAGGCTGGAAATGTTGACCCACCCTCACTCCATTAAATCCCAAGAGAGTGCACTGGGATGCTGAAGAAGAGGAGACCCGTTTTCTAGAGGAAGTCATTTGGAGGAAGATTTTCAGACATCAATAGGGACCTCTCTTGCTTCTCTTCCTTTCTTGGGAGAGTCCTGAGAAATTACTGGGCTCTTGGCTCAGCACACTTCTCGGGTTTCCTGGCAGTAAAACCATCGCCTGGAGCTGTAAAAGGTTTCCCTGATGTTCTGATTCAAGTGGAAAACTTTTTCAAGGTGTAAATTTCCTCTGCTGAGGTCGTGATTTATTCAGCTATTAAGTGAGCAAGTGAGCAGAAATTTGACCCGTGTTTTCCGACTTGAGAATAGGGGCAAGAAAGCCCCGCGACCCTGAATTCTCAATCCCCACATCGAAGACCTGGGTGTTTCTGAAAAGCGTGACAATAGGGGGTGGGCCAGAATGGGTAATTCGATGCAGAGTAATGAAAGGAAGTCGGAGTTATGGGGCAGAGGCTTATGCTACCAACTGACGAAAGAAAAAAGGAAAGAAAGAAAGAAAGAAAGAAAGAAAGAAAGAAAGAAAGAAAGAAAGAAAGAAAGAAAGAAAGAAAGAAAGAAAGAAAGAAAAAGGGCTGAAGTTCCTTTGCCCTGTGGGGGTTATACTTGGGCTCTAGATAAGAGTTGCGTTCCTCAGGCACTGGCATTTCCCCAGTTCCCAGACTGACCAAGGATCGCCCTTAGTCGCAATGGAGCTCCCCTGAAAGTCCAAACCTAGCTCCAGCTGTCTTCCCTGGAGCCCCCAGTTTCCTACAAGTCCTTCTTGTTTCCCCTGTCCCTTGCAAACTTTCCCCTGTGCGGCCCGGCAGAGACCATGTGCCTCAGGGAGCCAGACTGAGAAGCAATAGAATCCTGGGACCCGAAATACGACCTCACCCACTCATCGCCCTACCCAGCCGCTTCCACTATGCACCCAGAGCCAGCAAGGTGTGCCCACACCGAGTGGGCGAGGCTCTGTCCGCACAGCGGTCCGCACTTACGCGCGGTGATGCCAGGATGTTCCAGCTCGCCTCGGTCGTTGGTGCAGCCGCCCTGCTCCAACCTGGCATCAGCGGCCGCGCAGCAGTAGCGGAGCGCGCATGAGCCACAGCAGATGGTGGCGTCCAGCGTGTCGAAGTCCTCGGGGCACTGGAAACCCTCGTGATAGTTGCCCTGCACGTCCACCCATCCGTGGCAGTATTCCCCCGGCTGCTGGGCGCTCGCCGGGCTCCAGCGCAGCCACCCCACGAGGAGGCAGAGCGCCAGTAGCGACCCCATCACCGCGCAAGGTCGCGGCTGAAGAGCAGGGAGGCTGAGCCGGCACTGGGGGACCACGGTTCCGCTTCCCCGCAAGGCTGCGCACACTCCTGCGTGGGTTAGCAGTGGCAGGGCAGGGGACTGGGGCTGCGCTGCGGGATCCGCAGGCCGAAGGTCAGCATGGTGCACCGGGGCGAGGTGACCAGGGCGCGCGGGCGGCCACCGCCGAGGCTGCGGCTGGAGCTGATTCCGCCCTTGGCAGGGCTCATCTCGCGCCGGGCCGGGTCACCTCCCTCCCCGCTCCTCTCGAGAGCCGTCGGGTCCCGGGCTGCCAACCGCAGGATAGTGCAGCGTCCTCACTGGTGACTGTCGCCGGTTACCAAGCAGAGCCGGATGGTAGAGGAGACTCCCCACGTGCAGGTCCCCGGGGCGCACGCGAGCCGGAGCCGGCGCTACCGTGGCCAAGTGCGGACGGCCCCCTGGATGCTGACAGCTCTGCTTCGAGGCGTCCTTTAAAAGGGAAGAGGGAGGAGGAGACATGAGGGTGAAGAGAGTCCGCCCTCCGGGGTCGCGCCGCCCGAGCTAATCACTGCGGGCGCCGCGCAGGTCCGGGTCCTTGCGATGTCGCGCCGTCTGTCCCAACCCACCCACGGCGCTCCCCCGGGACTTGGCTGTGAACCCGAGGAACAGCCCCCGCCCTCCACCTAGCTGTCACGCAGCCCCAAGAACCCCGCAGGATGAGGGTGAGGATAAGGATGAGGATGGGCATGGGGTGGGGATGGGGATGGGGATGCGGATGAGAATGAAGACTGCCGAGCCGCCTCCGTCCACGCACGTCAGCTCTCGAGGGGACTCGCTGTCTGGCTTTCCTTTCTTCAGATTAATTGAAAACGAGCACGGCGGCCAGAGTTTGTAAAGTAGCCTGTCTTCTTTCGCATAGATCCAGATTCGTTCCTGGGCCACCGATTCGGAGGGTTCGTTCGGTTCCGATGACCTGATTTTTAGGTCATCAACATTTTGCACCGAACCTTTCCCCTCCGTTCCCAGGTTTCCACGGTTCACCCACAGTAACCCTCCTTCCCGCATGACTGAGTGGTGCTGGGGGAAGAGTCCGAGTCATCTCCGTCAATCTCAGTACACTTCAAAGGGCACAATTTCAGTGTTCGCGCCCGCAAAGGAAATAAAAGAACAAAATTAATGATAATCGAGCCTATTTGAACTTCTGTTCGGGCAAAGAAACACATTTACTTAAATGATGTGTCCCCGGTGTGCTGTTTCTAGGGGCACCGCTCCTCCATCTGAGCAAGTGCCTTGTGAAACTGGTGTTACGTGAAACCTCGGTTAATGTCAAGAATTTATTTTCCTGCGTCCCGCACTTCCTCTCGTTGCTTATTTGTACGTGTATGTTCGTGGTATCCACACAGATTTGTCAAAGAGACTGAACATCCTGTCACCGACTTAAGGGGTTAGCAAGTTACGTGAAACAAAAGGGAACTCCGTCAACCCCGCAGCTTCCCTATGGTCCCAGGTGCTTCTACAAAAACTTTCTTTAATGTCGAATAAAACGGTTTAAGTGTCTAAATTAAAGTCTTATCTCAAGTAAGGACTTAATTCTGGTTTCTAATCTTAAATATTGAAATGATCATTTAACTATAAGGCTATAAAAGTAAATATTCAACTTGCCACATGTTGAATGGGTCTGCATAAATATTTAACTTTATTTCTTAAAGATCCACATTGGGGAGACAAAATAAGACAGGAAACTTAAGTTAAACCAAGTTAAGTTTAGGCAAACAAATAATGGGGCCGTTTCTTTGACTAAGAATTTAATTGAAGTACATGGAAATTATTTTTCTTGGCCAAAATCTAT